CTCAAATCTGCATACTGAAGTATAAGACTGAGCCATTCAGTCACATGTGAAAAGCTTTCTCGTGAAGAAAATTTCATGTGTCTGATTCGTCTCCTGTTGGTTAATTTCTGATCTGCATTTTTCTCTTAATAGGCAGAGGCCTTGTATTTTGTAAGTCAACCCTCTCTTAAGACATGGAGCCTCTGGCTGATAGAATGAACAAATCGAACAAATTCTAATTAAACAGGTATTTCCCCAAAATATCCTTATTTTACCAAGGATCTCAGGGCAGTAGGCCAGTGGCCAGCGGTGCACTACATCGAATAAACTGCAGACTGCAGTCCCTTCCTGAAGTTGGATATCCTTGCAATACACAGATAAATTAAAACTTGGCAGTCTTTACCAAGGAGCCTAAGGGCTGGGAAGGGGTTGGGAAGCCTATTGCTGAGAAACCCCAAGAGCTGGCTGAATCATTTCAGGATTGTGCTGTGGCAAGCGTAGCACGGGGGGCTTGTTTCATTATTACGAGCAGTGACATTTGCTGTAGGACCGGAGTCATCTGCCCCTCTAATGCCGTTGCTGGGGCGTTTCATAGCTCAAATACAGCCAATTCTACAGCTGAGCCTAAATTTCCAATACATGCATGCTTGGGACACGCTAATGCCCTGCGATCTTAGGCATCATAGAAACTGAAGGTAGTTGAGTCTCCTAGATTTTTTTTTGTTTAGGGTAGAATTCTTTAGCTGTACTTAAGTAGCTCAAAAGCAAAAATTAGACTTTTAATCTCATGGTCAAATTAAATTTATTTTTCACCGCTCTACCCGTGCAACTCTGTAGTTGGTCCTGCTCTAATCACTGGTTTTACTGTGGATGTGATGGGGGGGCTCAGATAGCCAGCTGTGGCTTCAGTGGGGCTCTTCAGTGCTTACAGTTGGACTAGAAGCAGGCAGGGGTTTCCTATTCTAGGAAAATTTAGGAATTAACACAACTTTCACCATGGTGAGAAGTTGTCAAACTTTCAGCACGTGCAGTCAAACTCCTTGTGTAAATCCAAGTCAGCAGGTAAGTGCCAGCAAATGTTCTTGGCAGGGTATTTTTTCAGTAGATGTTCTACATGATTCAAAAGAAAAAGAAAATTCTTTTTATGATTTCATGGATCTTTTCCTGGGCATGCTACTTTTGTCTTTGTCCTACTGGTATTAGGGCTAATAACCGAGCTATATTTAGAGGAACTGCATGTCAGACTCTCTGCTTCCTCCTTTCTACATAAAATTTCAAAGGATCAGATAACTGCAACTCTGACCCTGGGTCAGCTGTGATTTTTAAATAAGGGTGTAAATCTGTTCGCTGCACTTATCCTAGTCTTTTTATAATTTTTACTTCCGTTTTATGGAGGAATAGGAATGTGCATAAAAAGTTTTCCCTCTAAAAATGAGCCTGAAAGTGGGAATTACTTTCTCAGGAGCTTGCTACCTGTAGTTAGTCAGATCCACTGACAGAATTTTATGTTTTTCACTGTTTTCATTAGTTCCAGAGGACAAATCTGTTTGTGAAATTCAGATACTACTTTGGCTCACATATGTATTGCAAATACCTTGCTGAAACACCTGCAAATGTCTGAAAATAACGTGTTTTGGTGCAGTATTTTCACTGAAAAATGCTCTCCAAGTGTGTTTTTGAGGATATTCTTCTCATTGCCCAGCTGATAGCTGTATTTTTTGAGAAAGTTAATTTTTGCAAGGAGCAAGTTATTCACATTTTTATAAAGAATATGATTAAAATAGCACTCAAGTTTGCAGTAAGAAATTAGCTTTTGTTTTACTAAAATTATTCTTTTCAGTTTTTTTTAACATGGGGAAAAGTTTGAGTAAAAATGACATTTTTAATGACACTTCTGAATTATAAATTAGCTGGAATATTTAATAGTGTACAGCTGCCTTGTTCCTGTTGCTATTCATTAACTGCATCAGGTACTTGAAGAGATTTTTTTTTTTCCTGTCCAACCGAATACTAGCTGTATGTTCCATATACTTACACCCCAGCATATATTTGATGACAGTGAACTAACCCTGTAATTGTCTGTGCTTGCTCTGCTGTGCAGGTTTAAGTATTTTTAAAACACTGGCGGTACACCCAAGGTGTTTGGATGGACTAAGGGGCAGCAGCAGTCGGTCAGCTTGTTGCTGAGCTGCCTCAGAGGAAGTGAGTAACGCCGTGTGTGCCTTCCTGTCTTCGGTTCGCTGTCTTTATCTGGGAGTTACAGGTCTGGCAGAGCTCAGTAGGTCGGTTTCCAAGTTTCTCGGGGGAGGTGTGCGAGCGAGACGCGCTCGGAGCTGGCAGTCAGAGGCGTGCAAGGAGGGTCGCCAGCAAGGGACCCGCATCTGGCAACGCTCTGCGGTTCGACCCACCTTCCACTGGGGCCAGCGCGGAGAAAGTTGAATCCGAAATGAGCGGCCGCTCGAAGGGCGGCAACGGGGCAAAGGCCTCGCTCCTCCGGCCGCGCTGTGGAACTTCGGCTGGGCTGCGCGGCGCCCGAGCCCG